TCCTTATGGATGGTATTCATTGAAACAATACTCCTGGATGCCTGTTGAAACTCCTCTTAGATGAGGGTCATTGGTTGGGTGCGGCTCTTCCAAATTTCCTGGACAGCACTCGTCGGTCTCTACCAGTTTCGTTGGTCTGCCGACTCGGGGCACATTCCGACAATCACCGCTCACCTTCCACTTCTTAATCACATAGGCCACTGTCGATTTTGTGTACTTCAGATTGCTAGATATGTCCCTTAAGGATCGGCCACATTTGTGATACTTGATAATTGTACCTTTCTCGAAATCAGAGAGCTCCGAACTGCGAGGCATCTTGCATGCCACTAAAGCCGATGCTGTTTCCTACACAATATATACCGGCGGAGTCCGTGACATACCTTAGGACCGCAGATATCGTCATTTGCATAGGTGTCCAAATACTTATTGGTAGTCAGTGTAGTTAGCAGCTTCAGTCTCAGCTGAAGCTTTTTTACCTGAATTTCTTAATTTCCTTATATCAAAATGATTTTTAAATTTGGTTAGCCAACCTGTTGAATATGTGTACTCGGTTCTTAAGCTCGTTTCTTAGTGAAATATTTTAGCTTGCACCATTAGCATGTGACCCGTCAATGGCACACTCTCTGTGATGCTGCCCGACCCATTCAATTATCACTTTGACATGATCTTCACTTTTAGCATAATGAATAATTTTTCTCTTAATTCGTTGCAAGTGGGTTGTCGGCATCCACAAAATATTCAAAAAGTTTCTTTTTCTATTTTCCGATGTCAGTTATATACAGTTGGCTTTCCAATGCCATACTCCTTGCATAATTTTGAGACGGATATACCTTTATTCATTTTTTATGGCAATTCCACTTTTTGTTAAATGGACATCAAAACATGCTTTCACTTTGTAGATCCTGTTGCAGCTCCAGAATTAGAAACTCTTTTCAACATGATCGAAAATTGAAACTTTAATTTTCATCAAATTGCTGTAATAAAAACAGCCTGTAAAAAATAATTAAGCTGGATTAAATCAGAAAGCTAAGGGAGAGCGCAATCTGCTATATTGGTTGAAATTCCGTAAAGTATAATTTTAGCCTAGCTTAACGGCATCAGCTATACATTATTGGCTATGGATTATGAGATTGGTGATGAAAGATGAGTTGTTCCACTAAATTTTGTCTTGCTTCTATTGCGCTCTGAGACAGTTAAGCCTGATTGTATTAGTTTAGTTATTTATTATACTTGCATCTAATTCTGGCATATGCTTAAGGCATATCCGAATAAATAAATTCCAGCATATACATGAGGCTTATCAAGGGCCAACGCTGTATATCTTACAGCCTTATGCAGTCTCTGCAGGTCCTAAATTTGGTAAAAATATATTTACTGGTGCCCCTTGGTGATTTTTGGCAGTACATGGATACCGAGTTTGTGCAATTCTTTGATTTATTATTTTGGCTTTATATATTGTGGCTTTGGCGAGCAAAAATCACCACTACACAAAGACAAAATAACAAGTCAAAGAATTGCACATACTCAGTATCCATGTACACATCGACCTATTTTCACTTAATAAAAAATCAGAGAATTGCATGAACTTGCCATTGCGCACCCCTTGACTTTGTCCATGTACAACCTATTTTCACTTAAAAAGTCAAAAGAAGCACCCAGTTCTACAAGCCAAACAAAAAATATGTAATCTCAGTAAGCTACATTTTAAATCAAACAATATATAAGGAAATTCATCTTAAGCATCTAAGCACTGCACAAATCAAATATCCACTTACCTTATTTAGAAATTTCTGCATCTTCAGTCTGTGACATACAAAATTCCTTAACAGCATCCAAAAACTTCCTAAAATTATCTGAACTAGAATCCATATATCGGCTTCGCCACATAAATTCACAAATTAAGAGTAAAAAATATCATCCATAGTGTTCGGTATCCTCCGACGTTCAACCATATGCATTTCCTTCCTACAAACTGGATATTTATAATGGCTACTAAGTAAACCTTCATTTAGACACCAATCAATTAATGTTGTTTTCCTCTTTCATTCCAAATCATACTGAAACTTCAAATTAATCTTACCACATTCAGCCATTCTACTGTCTAAACCACAAAACAAGCATTACACTTCCTAACCAATACACACCATAAGCCCATACAAATCTTTTCCCATCATTCAAAATTTACCACAATCACGCAACCAATTATGTCATATTAGGGTTTCCATAACATTCAACTACTTAAGTTAGCATAAATGAAACAATAACTTTGTGATAATACAATGGGGAACCCTTCAGTCTAATCCTAAATTCTGCTACCTAGCGCCTCTCTAAGTTTTAATTTTTGCCACCCCTAAATGTTGGATCCCAGTGCTTTCCCTAAATTCTAAAAATATTTTCATCCTTTAATTTTGTTGCTCGGTGCTCCTCTAAATTCCAAAAATTTTGCCTTCCCTAAATTCTTCCGCCTGGTGCGGCCATACGAGGTCTGTCGCCAGTTCTCTGGGTTTATGTGAAAAACAAATCAGTTATTCTTAATTCAAATAGCACTAAATGTAATATTTTGGCCTATGAGTATTATTATCCTGAATTATTCTGAATCCACATCACAACTGAAAGTGGAGAAAGTAACAGAGAAGTTATTGAAATTGAAAAAAATTCAACTGACAATTTAATGGGATTTTTGACATGGCAATTACAGGACTTGAACAATGGAACTTGTAACTTAATAAGAAATTATGTCTGCCTGTAAAATTAATGAGAAAGAATTTGTACAAAAAACAATGCAGCTTAAAACAACTTACGTTGAAAGAAATGATTAATAATGCAAACAAAGAAATATTAAGCTTTTTTTGTAAGTTTTGATTTTCTTGAAGTTAAAATTAAAATTTAAAGACTGGCATTTATTCAACTGATTGTAATATGTTGAACCACTAAGTGACTTACATTTAATTTAAACTAAAAAGAAATATAAGAAAGTTTCCGAAGATGAATAAAACTTGATAATAAGTAATGAAAACCTATTTTCTTTTATTTATTAGATTTTTCTGTGACACAAAACAGAAAAAATTATATTTGTATGTAAATTATTGGAAATATTATTTTTTCTGTTTTGCGTCACAGAAAAATCTAATAAATAAAAGAAAATAAGTTTTCATTCTAATTATTGGAAATATCTTTGTTTTTACTACATCTTTCAGCTACACAACATCATGACATTTCGATTTTCATGAAATTTGTAATCTTGGAGGGAAATTACCAAAAAGTATCATTACGGATTGTAGATATTCATTAGCAGTCTGGTGTTTTTTTTTTGGGGGGGGGAGGGGTAGACTTGTTAATTTTCAACTGCAGAAAATAAACAGTTCTCATGTAAATATGCTTAAAAACAAAGTAAGCATTCTTATTGCAAAAATTCATAACTTTTGACAAGTCCTAATAAAAGTTAATCAAATTTGTGTCTTAAAATCTTTCAACAAGATTTATTGTAAATTAATTAGCTCTATTTCTAGATTTTCGGAAGAGTTACATTCATTTGTGGTAATTAATATAATGTAAAACTGAACTTCAAACCATTAAAATTGTAAACTTTTTCCTTAAATTCTTGTCATAATAATGCTAATTAATTTATGGGAAATATATTCGCAGGCAGCATAAAATTACTTAAAGGCAGGGCTTACTTAAGGGCATGTGGTAAATTAAACCTTAACGTAAATTACTTAAGGGCATGCAGCCCGTGGGCCAACAGTTGACTTTGACACTTCTTTACTAGAAAACAATATACAGTACAAAGTCCGGACTCATCGGGGGACTTTGGCGATTCCGGATTAGGGCTTTTTCCGGATTATAGATCATCAGTTTAAATCTGGTAAGATGACATGCAGAAATTATAAAATTAAAAATATGAAACCGTAATTTATGAAATAAAGAACAGTTATGATCTAAAGGGTATCAAATTTAAAAAAAAAAAAAAAAGAGCTTAGTATTTATTTGTTTACTTTATTAAACATTTCTTTCAATGTAAGTTGTTTAAGTTGCTTCGTTTTATGTGATGATACTTTCTCTTTAATTCTATAAACAGACATAATTTCTTGTTCAGCTTCAAAGTTCTGCTGTTCAAAGTCCTATAATTGCTGTGTCGAGAATACCGACTAATTTGTCAATCAAAATTATTTCGTTTTCACTAACCTTTCTATAACTCCTTTTATCCATTTTTTGCAGATATTCCACTTTTTGTTTGATGGGCATCGAAACATGCTTTCGCTTTGTAGATCCTTTGGCAGCTCCAGAATTGGAAACTCTTTTTTGACATAATAATCGAAAGTTCAAGCTTACTTTTTATAAAATTGCTCTAACAGTCTGCAAAAAATAATAAGCCGGATCCAATTAGAAGATTAAGGAACAACGGAATCTGCAACATTAACTGAAATAGATAAATAGATAATTTTTGCCTATAGTCCATTATACATTAAACACGTTATACATAAACGCATTATGCGTAAACGCATGGGCAGAAAGTTTGTAGCTTTGAGGTCTGGATTATAGATCATTCCAGATTATGGACGTCTGGATTAAAGGCTTTGTGCTGTATATGGTTAAAATTTATTTGGGATGTTGACATTGCTAGTTTTTTTTAATACAGGTGAAATCAGAGCAGAGTGATGTCAGACTATTTCCTGTTAACCTCCATAGGAGGATCCCATCGTTTAGGCGTCACACAAATGAATAAACTAGTCCTTCTGTTTAACTATGGGTAGATACTTTGTCATCTTCCCCCTCCTCCCTCCCACCCATCCCAGAAAACTCCCCCCAACCTTTTCTTTCTTTCTTTTCTTTTCTTTCTTTCTTTTTTTTTTTTTTTTTTTTTTTTTGAAGAATTGCATTTAGCCATGGTTTTTGTTTTTACAAGAACATATCTGCTATGTAAAAATAGATTTAAATATGCACATATTTTACATAACATATATAGTGTACATTGTATAATAAAGCTTTATTAAAAAAAGACTGGAAAAATACTTAACATCTACTTTTCCTTTGTTCTTTCAGGAAGCAGCTGTATTTGTTCTAGAAAAAAAGCTATTGGAAAAGTATTCTAAGCAAGAAAAAGAATTAATTTTGAGCATTTTAAAAAAAGGCGTTGCAAACTTAACACGACTGCGTCATCCAAGTATCTTAACTGTGCAGCATTCACTAGAAGAGTCTAGGTAAGTAGCTTAATTGTCTGTTAATATGTATTAGTTACATTGCCAAAAATAATTACTTTATGTAATAATTCTTAAATTAATTCACTGTGAGCCTTTTTAACCATGCAGTGTAAATGTGGAAAACAAAAATTCATGATTGGCAATATTTAGTCTTACTGACTTTTTTTTCCTTTTAATGAATTTTTTGGTATTTGTCAGTTTTATCAGCTGTTAATCATCAAGTTTGTTAGCATTTATCACCAAATGATATTGCAAACTTAAAACCATAAACCAAGTAACAAAAACTATTATATCATTTTTTTTTCATTTGTAAGAATTATTATTGTTATGTTATTTTTCAATTATCCTGGCTAATGCCAAGGAAGCAGCTCACAGATGATTGAAAAATATTGATAATCCAAACTATCAATTTTGATGTATATTGTTTATTTTAATTTCTTAAAAAAATTAGTAATTTTACCTTGTTTTTTTTATAACGATTAACTATTTGTCAAATTTCACTGCCTATTTCTAAATGCTATTTTATCATTGTTTTGAAATTCTCTTTGGTCAACGAAGCACAATTGAGTTTTGACAGAAGTCTTTGCTGTCATGGAACTAATATAATTGTGGGTATCTTCTTTGCTTGCATTTTCAGTATCCCTTTCTGCTTCATCTGTTCTTGTGCCATTTATAATGATATCTGCATCACTCAAGCATTGAAAGTTTAAGTTGAATTAGCATTGAACCATTCCTCAATGTTCCCTTAATCAACATTTTTGAAGAATTTTGCATACTTCTTCCCAATTAAATAAATCTCCGATTTCTGTAATTTGAAGAATCTTTATTTGTAATCATTGCATTGAGTTTGTGTGTGTGGGCTCCGCCATGCACAGATAATCTACAAACCAAATAATCCACAGCCCAATAATCAAGAGTGCACTTATTATAATTTAACATTTCCATTAAAATTCTATTATTTAAAACTGGAGATATCTTTTACTTAGTACTTTTGTTGCCAGTAAAACAGACAAGTACCAATTTTTGTTTTCATACATTAGTAGTAGAAAATGCTTGTAATCCGAAGTATCCTTTCTGAAGTTCATGTTGTATAAATATTCAGGCTTTTAGGTAGCAAATATTATTATGCTATTTAGTTTTTGTAGGGAATGTTTTTTTTTCCCTCTCATTAATGTTGGAATGGAGTGTCACACATATAAACTCATAAATATGTGTTTTCTAAATAACATAGCAACCATCAACACAATCTAATCAGTAGTGGACACATGAATTTACATAAAAGTAGCAGGTATCAAACATAAATTTTGAGTGGGTAAAATTATACTTCACTCCTTAATTGCTCAGTCTCTCTGTTATGAATAAGTTATTCATCTGCAAGACCATTTTACTTCCCATTCCCTTTTCTGATGTTATGTGGTTCAATATCATGTCAATCTCTTGCAGAGGAATCATAATATTACTCCTTTGTAAGTCACTATTTGTAATTTTTTTTAACTCTTATCATTATTAAGAATGTATATTAAAAATATACAAACTTATATGGTTAAACTCTCAGAAAATTGGAGAAATTGGTAATCCTATAATAGCAATGTTTGAAAATGACTGTTGTGATAATTTATAACAAGAAAGACCAAAGTTATTCTGTGTATTATTTAACGGTGATTTTTCAGTCATTAATATTACTGTCGTATGATTTCAATTCTCCCATAATTTGATTGCTTTGTAGTTTGGGTTAATTTGTATCGCTAATAATAGATAGATTTTGTTGACACTCCATTTTCCATTCCAGTCCAGTCAGACACTCCATTTTCATGAACAGAATGAAAATTTTGATTAAGATAATAGTGTATAATATATGGCTATCTAGATGGAGAATTTAAGATTTAGAAAATCTAAAGCATCTCCCTGTTTAGCAGGCATTGCATTTGCAACTGTTACGAAAAAGTTGTTTCCAGTTATTAGCAAAACCTTTAATCTAGTGCAGTTGAATCAGTCCACTAGTAAATGCCACTTTCTTTGATTGAAAAAAATGGGGGTCATAAATAATGAAACAATCATGCTGAAATCAAGTTGCCTGACACTTTTAATCATGGCAGTTACTTTCTTCAATAGAGCTAGATAACACTTTGAATTTATAAAATGTGTCATACTTTTGTCATGGTATCTAATCTTGAAATATATGACTGCACCAAAAGACTTTGGGCTTGTGTCAGAGAATATATGTACTTCCAACTACTGAATCTTCAGATCATCAAAATGTGGCTGGCAAATGACAAATCTCTCAAGTTTTGCTACTTCCTTCCACCACTCCTGAAACATAGATCCTAATTCTGTTTAGATCCCTTCTATAATAATTTGATTTCGTAATAAATATTTTCATCCCATTTTAAGCCCTCTTCTCAAATAATCTACACTGTCAATTTAATTATAACACTAAATGGTGCAATTAAACCCAGTGGATCAAATAGCATGCTGCATGTTCATAATACTGTGGCATTTTGTTGGTGTCACATTTAAATTTTGCATATTGATTCAGTTGACACTTCAGTGTCTTTATCATTGTTCCAAATTAATCCTAATATTTTTAACGATTTATTTGTTTGATTTGATGGCATCCATCATTCAATTTGGTTTTCCTTCCATATTTCATTAAGGAGTGCGGAATTAGACAGCCACTGCCATAAATTCATGCTTGCTTCACTGAGTATGAATTTAGTATCTTGCCAGAGATGCTGTTTCTTCAACAGTTGATAATCCACTTAAGTCATGTCTTTCAAAATAGAATAGGCTTCACTATGTGAATTTCCACATTTCTTCAAATGGAATTGTATAGTTGCTGCCAAAATAAAAGGGCTGCATTTGACACCAGAGGGACTGTGTGTCATTTGTAAAATTCTGATATCATAACCATTGAAATCAAGTTCAGTTTCCTTCTCATTTCTGCATGAAAACTGCAAAAAAATTTTATCCTCCTCTACTGTGCCAGTCTCTAAAAAATACTGTTTAAATATCAGTATAAAATACCATTGAATTATATCAAAATCTCAAAATAATCGTAAGCAAATATGGATTAAGTTTAGGACCACTATCTAAGCAATCACTGAGCAATTGTCCATTTCTAACTTTTGACGATGCATCATACACAATCCTAACTTTCATATTTTCTTTGGTTCATGTTCTACAGATGATGAGGCTCAAAATACCCAGTTTTTCTTTAATCATCATCATGAAATTTAACTTGCCCAATAATACCATCCCTTAACTGTTCATTAATAATTTCTTTATAACAAATGTACAGATGCAGATCATGCCTAAATTTATTATTTAAGCTTATCAAATGTCTTTCTACAACTTCATAATTATTATACAATGTGTTACAACCCTCTTTCCTTAATAAATTGTTTCCATACTTCCTATTTTTATATGTGGTATTTCTTTTTAACATTGGTAGCTGCATTTGATCACAAAATTTCCTTTTTTCTGATTTATTCCTACAGTTTGCAGATCCCATAAATTATGAACTCTTTTCGAATTCTGTTTCTTTCTTCCCTGATATATGATTTATTGCAAGTCTTATCATAATTTCCATGATTGTCTGATCCTGTTTTCTATTACAAACCCAAGCAAACTATCTGTAATGATCATTTGTTTCCCTAGTTTTTTGTTTTTCTATGTAAAATTTCCCAAATGTTATCTGAGCCAATCGAAGTATTTATCTCTTTTGGATTTCTAATATTGACCAACTGTATTCCCTTATTTAGAGTTATGTTTCTAATCCATTTTGAAGGAAATTCTATGTGGTGATGTGTAATCGCATCAATTACCACCATTTCTATATGTTTAGTTTTTTTTTTTTTTTTTTTTTTTTACTAGGTTTGATTCTATTCTGCAAATCAAATTGAACTGTATTAGGTAGTTATTTATGTGGTCATGCGTAATCACGTCAATTACCACCACTTCTGTGCTTAGTTTTTTACTAGATTTGATTCTATTGCAAATCAAATTGTACTATATTATGTAGCTATTTAGGTTTATACTGGCCTATATATCCAGTGTCTCACATCTGGTAAACTTCAATCCTAATTAGTACTTAAAAAACTAAACTCAGTGGCACAAACAGCCCTAATGGGCCAAGGTCTGCAGTGCCCCGAAATCTGCTTTCTTGACCGTGGGCCCCGGGATGCGTAAGCATATGCCCTGAACAAGTGGTCATCTTGTCGCAGCCCCCCCTCACCAGTATTAGTTCCCAAGTGAACATTTTATCAACCCAAGGGATGAAAGGCTCAGTCAACCTTGCCCAGCCCGGGGTTTGAACCCCGGACCTGTGGTGCTGCTGCACGATGCGCTAGCCACTGCGACACTGGGCCTCAATTAGTACATAGTTTTCTTTTTTATAAATATTCTGTTACTACTGCTGTCTATTAAAACTTTTACCATCTTGCTTTTTTTTTTTTGCTTTCATTATAGCCCTGAATGTTTTACTGCAATGATCGAATTTTAATTTCAATCTTGTTATACTTTCTTTACAGTGCTGGAACATTCATACATGTCTTAATGGAATCAATCAACAGCAGTCTATTCCTATAAGCTTGTAATCAAATCTCAACTTCCAAATCTTTCTTTTAATAACTTAATTGAGGAATCATAATTTTAATTTTTTAATGAAAATCTTGAAACTGCTGACAGGGCAGCAACTCCTAAAAATATTTCAAATAAAAACACTTCTGATCCTTACTTGAAGAATCGTTATTATGAATAGCTACTTCGTAGGAATTCCAGAAATCCAACCAAGAACTGCAGTCATCACAAAATTTCTCAATGCTTAGTTTCGTTAGCTTAACTACACTATTTTTGTTTTTTACTTCATGTTATTTGAGCCTAACAATTGCATTCGAATTATTAAAATTTCCTTTTGCAATGCAATGCTAAGAAAAGATTGCAAACAGAAATGTCTGTTTATTTCTGTTTTCCATTAAATACTGCATTCCTGATATTCTTTG